GTGAAGTTTTGTTATGTATCAGGTTACTAGTTGTACATTTTTAATACGGCATATTGAGTTTTGTCTTAGTTCTCCCACTATTATTAAGGAAAGCTGTGCAGCTGAATCACCATCATTAAAAATCTACCCTTATGTATTTATATTCACTAATAAATTAAAGGAAATGCTGGGGCAAAAGTACCTAAAACTGTGTGGAGTCAAAAAGGTATCAGAGGTTGTTTTTCACAATTGGCAACAACTGGCTGTGTGATCCCAAGGCCTTCTGAAGAAAAAATGCTACTTAGGAATAGCACTGATCTCTTCTCAATGACTCAAATACATGTGGTGGTAGGAATTATTCCTAACACATAATATTCAATAATTATTATGTTGAACTTTCCACTAAACTTGAAAAGCAGTAGCCAGGACCTTTCTGAACCTGTGGTGGTTCAGACGTATCCATAATAATTGCACTTGTAAAAAGCTTGCTGAAGGGGGCTTTTTAGAGACGAGAAATTCCAGGAGTTTATGTGAAGGTAAAAAGGGGAGGAATCCTACTAGAAGAGAGCAGCCCTGCTAGGCTGCAAAGGTCAGTGCACTGGATCTAATCTCATTTATGTGGGACTTATTCAAGCCCAGTCTAAGTTATTGGATTCAATCCCTATTAGCTTTCTAACTCGCGTTCTGCCGTCATTCTGGACCTGTCCACTCACGCAGCATCTCTGTACACATTTTGACTTAGGTTCTGATGGAATCTATGAAGATAACTTAAGAATTTCTCAGTGAGAAGAGGACCAAGAACTGTCCCAGATACTGTAGCCTGTCCCTAGCATAGTGAGGATTTCCACAACAGATAATTATTGTAATTAGACATGTGCAGTGATATATTCCCCTCTGGTTGATTTGAAATGAAATATTAAGTGCAAAGCTGGATGGTTCTGATTAAGTCTGTCATATCAGGAGTGATTCATCAGCACCAGTAGGATATCTCATGCTGGAGAAGGCATACTGTGTATAATTTTTAAAACCTTGTTTTGCCTTGCAGTTCCCTGTATGGGGCTCAGAAGGATGACAAAGTAAACGCAACAGCAGACCAAGACAGCATAACAGCAGGGGACCAGAGGCCTAGAAGGTAGAAATAAAATCTAAGCAGGTACCATATAGTCAGCTTCACATGCTGCATCCAGTCAGCTTCTTGTGTGAAAAACATATGGCATGCAAATGCCAGATAGCATCTTGTTGTCATAATAGTCAGTAAAGCTCTGCCTTCTGTCAGTTGTTTAATTGCTGGATGTTCTAAAACCTATGTTATATTTGCAAGATAGTGCATGAGGATTTTACCTTGGGTTCCCCACTAATATGACTAACAACCAAAGATCTAACTTTTTGTGATCACCTTAAAGGGTTTAGCCTTCTTTGATTACATCTAAGACAAGATGAAAGCTAATTTTAAAGTTTTCAGTTTCAAGCCAGCTGAATCTGGTTGGCATCATAGCTGTTTATTATCTACAGAATTGCCTATTCCTCTTTGCAGTGCCTTGGATTGCAAGGCATACTGTATTATTTTAAGAGATTTGGGTTTTTCTCTTGCAGTTCACTCTCTGTGACTGTGAGAGAAGACAAAACAACCACAGCAACCTTTAAAGAAGAAGAGAGCACAAAGCACATAAAGAGGACCAAAAGGTAAGCACACTATAGAGCATGCTGCATATCATCTTTTTCATGATATCAGTACAGGTGGATTACAAGCTGTGCTGCTGTAGGGGTGCACAGTGAGCCAGCAAAATGCCATTACGCTACATATACTGCCTGATACACTGTATGTGGACTTTGTCACAATATTCCTACTAACAGTAATATGAATTGTAAAGCCAAATTTCTGTATTCTCTCTTAAATATTTGCCCTTCTATGTTTAAATCCACTGCTGGGTCAAAAAGGAAGCCTAGTTAAACCTTACCAGTTGAAGGTTAGAGAAAACATTATAAGGTCTTAAACATTTATGAATAAGGAAGCTGCCTGGCCCTGTTCAGTGTCTGTTATTATTTGCAATTCACAATCTGTTCTTTATTTATATTTCATGCAGTTTGTTTCTGTTGCTGATTTGGATGGTTGACGTAACTAACCGGAACAGCATAGCCTGTGGATTTTACAAATGAATATGCAACTTGAAATTGCCAATAAATCTCAAACCTGGTATATGTTCCAGGAGATGAATGCAAAAAGGTTAGGGATATGGTTGAGAGAAAAATGTGCTTTTTGAATCACATGAATATTTGCAAGCAGTTCTTTCTAGCATCTGATCAGCTTTAAACCAAGCTCTCTGCTCCTTAATTTGCATGTTTACAGTGAATGGGAATCTGTCAGCTTTCAAGTGTCCGAGAGCTGAGGTTTTCATTTCACATCACTTTAAAAGATTCTACATTCGGAGTAGTCCAGCACTGTGCCCCAGAGATGCATAACTCCAGGTTTATGTATTTTCCCACCTGCAGCCGCCATGCCAGCTATTTCATTGAAAGCAAATGTAATTTGCATGCTGAGATGAGACAGAAGTTCTCAGCCATAGCTGAAGAAGCAGCACTTTGTTTACATGACAACCTGGAGATACTTGAAAGGTAAGAACTGGAATACCTTCTATATTTTGTCAAAATATGCAATGCCTCACTATACGTATTAGTGAGGACTTGCTCCCAAGCCTTTTAAAGATGAATCTGCTCTCTGAAATGGCATGGCAACAGACTAATGACAATTGGCGTGGCGATCTGGATAGTCTTGTGCCTACCCATGCATAGGATGTACACTGCAGGCTGACTATTCAAGCGAACGTACTAGGTTTTCTCTGAATGATTTCTATGGACATTACATTGGATATTTACTTTTACATGTGTCTTTTATGGACACTAAGATAAAATTCCCCCAGCTTCATAGAGCTTATTGCCTCCTTTATCCTCTAGCCAGTTGACTCTCAATTGCATCAGTTATGTTCAGAAATATTCAATTAACATTTTCCAGACTGAAGACAGTCTTTTTGTTTATCATATAAATCTCAAAACCAGCTGTTGCATTTCAAATTGTAGTCTGACTCTTAGTCTGAGAATCTCACAGATTCTCTAGCTCCACACATTGAGACCACTGTCCTGTTAATAGTGCAGGATTTATTTACTTTTGAGGCCATTACCTCTTTTCCCCAAAAGAGTGAATACTAAATCATCCACACTTAAGGCCAGTCCACACACACTCTTTAACATCATTCCTGGGCTTTCAGAATTCTCTCTCACCCAGAGGACAAGTGAGCAGCCTTCTCCTAGGCCAGCATTAATTCTGGTCTATCAGTCAGCCAGTGTTTGTGATCCTTTCTTCTAGAACAGAAGTCTTACCCGTAACATTTGTAAATTTTACTGGCTCAGAGAGAAAAAGACCTGAGATCTCCTCATATGTAATTATTGTAAATCTCACAAGCACACCCAGGTTGATCAGTGTTTGTGGGAAAGACCTCTGAGGAGCATTGACGTGCGGCAGGAAATAACATTGCTAATTCAATACGTGGCACTCTGTTCACTAAGTTTACATTGAAATAAGGTCCTGCAGCCTTACCTGACTACTTGCATTCAGTCTAATGTAATAGAGTTTTTCATATGATTACAGATATTAGTTTGGTTTCCCAGCTAAAATTCCAACTCAGATAAGTATGCTCAACCTATTCTCCACTAGGTTTCAAACATGCATGGCTGTTTTTTTCTTTTTTTCCTAATTGCCTTTAAACAATTGTTTAGAGCCCTGAGGTGGTTGTATTGTCTTGTTGCATCATTTGATCTTTAAGTGTGTTCTGTATCTCACAGATTAATTATAGTTTGTAAATTGTTTGAAGAGATTTAAATGTGGAAATCACAACTAAAACACAAAATTTTAGTATCTGCAGACTGAACATAATTTACTTTTTCATCCATCAGTCTTCTACCATCTTTGTTATGTTCCCAGTTAACTCTCAGCAAGAACATTCATTTTTAAAATATCCCATTCTAATTTTTTCAAGTTTTATTGCAGGCGGCGGGAAGAGAAATGTTCACAGAAATACCGAGCTTTAAAAAGTATCAAGTGTTTTGAGAGAGACCTAGAAAGAATGAGACAATCTGGAACAAGAGCTGAAAGAGAACATGATGAAGATGAATGCAACTGGTGAGAGAGCGCAGATACTTAGTTTGACTCCCTCCCCGTGCCCCAAAAGCCTTTCCTGTAAAACCAAAGCTCTTCTTTGTTTCAAAAGTCTTAGTCTGCCAAAAGCAAAATAAAATGTCTAATTAGAAACCAACAAGGGGCAGATCTAAAGGGCATGCAGTAGTGCAGTCACACATTGCTTTGATTCCTGGTCCACCCAAAATTTAAAACCAACTGCCTGACAGTGGCAGCAGCAAGGAGGGAGTCACTTGACTTCATGGTTTATCCTTTCTCCATTTTTTAATAGTCTTGATGTTCCAGTAACTAAGCTATCCTTTCTTCTGCCGTTCTGCTGGCTGTTAGCTGCTCCTCTTAATGCTGCTCCTATTTCACATCCCTGCAGATTATTTTTAATTCTAAAAATATTATCTCAGGTAAACATCAACTCAGGTGTGGAAATAATTTTCAGTGAACATTAGATGCACTGTCCGGATGCTCAAGAAGGCTAGATTTTGTTTTATGAATCTAAAAGAGATATACATTTAATTTTAATGACATTTTAATGACAACAGGACTAAAGAAACAATATCTTTTGATTGGTTTTTTTGCCTAGTTGGTTGGGGTTTTTATATACATCATATGATATAGCAAATTAATGCACATTCCAATAAAATTGTATTTGTTTTTGCTTCCATCTTAAACTGAATAACATGGCATTGCCCTTGACCCCTAGCATATTAGTAAAAAGAAATTAGAAGTTTTACCTGGATAAAAATGTGTGTTCTGTTATATGTGATGATGCACCTTACTATCTACACCCCCCTTTTCAAAATCCTAGGATCCCGCCCCGCCATGGAAGCCAATAGACTACCTGGATTCTGAGCTCCCAAGGCTTGAGTCCAATGTTACAGTGTATTTGTTCCACCTGTTCGTCAGTTGTAAGATCTGGCCTTGGCTAGGTGGCACGTGCAGTAAGCTCTCTGAGCTCATCAACTCATCAGCATAGCTGCTGCTGGAACCTACATCACCCTGGCTCTGGTATTCAGTGGGTGAATGCTGCTGCTGATTGCCCTCCTCCCCCCCACCCCACACTCCACACTCCTTTGCCTGCTACCAAAATTGGCAGCAAGGGAAAAGAGGAGGGGAATAAGTGGCAGCAGCATTCACCCCCTGCACTTGAGCATGGCATCAGTGCAGGCTCTAGCAGCAACTGCACTGATGAGCTGGTAAGCTCAGAGAGCTCCCTGCACATGCTACACAGCTAAAGGGGGATGCAGCTGCACCCCCAGCATACCCCTTGGGTCTGCCCCCTGTTTGCTAGTGTAGCCATACAAGCAATGGACTCCTGGTATAGACAAGGACTAACTTGCCTCCTGCCTTAATGGTTAGGGAAGACCCTCCTCTTGCTGCTGACATGTATGTATTTGTCTTCTGCTAGAGAGAGGTGGCACTTTGTGCTAAAGATTAGCTGATATGCCGGTGTATTCGGGACTCTGATAGAATTAGAGAGACACCATTGCAGTCCCTCACATGTATATGGTCTGGAAGGGTCAGAGACATCCATCTCTGGGATTGTCAAAGCAGCACTACAAAATTTACACAGAAAGTCGAGAGAAAATGGGAGTCTTTTCACAAGAGCTTTATTTTTATTGTAGTGTGTAATTCTTTTCTTGAGTCTCCATATTCAGAGTGAAATGGCAAAGACTGAGTGTTACAGTGCATTCACATCAGTGAGATTTATGTCAACCTGCACAGGGGAAAAATATGATGACAGCAACAGAAAAAGGGACAGTAAAGAAAATCAGACACTGTGTCAGATCAGGCACCGATTGCTTCAGAAAATCTACAGAGACAAAACAAAATAGAGAGACAAAAGATGAAAAGGGCAAATCAGAAGTAAAATGGAAACATTTGTCAATATTTTATCGTTTGCTTCCACACCACAGGTTTTCACCTAGAATTTAAATGAACAATTAAGGAGTCTTTTTAATGCCATGCAAGAGGAATTGGGTGCAGAGGTCTGAGAAGAATAAAAACAAGCCTTTTTTCCATCATTTCCTAGAAACTGCACTGAGCAAAAGTATCAGGAAGGTCTGAGGTACCCAGCTGGGTAAACTTCAGTTTCAAAGGCATCTATTTATTTAGTCTCTGCTCTTTTCTTCTTGCTGTTAAAGGTTTCTGAGTTTGATATCCAGACTCCCCAGTGCTGTGAAGAATGACAGTCGCACACAGAAAATCTTAAAGAAACTGGAAAAATTTGGCAAGAACCCAGACTTGAGAATCCGTCCCAGCACCTTTCTGAAGGTGCTGAGTGATCTACGTGTATGGGAGTTGTGTTCTCCAGACATCTCTGCAGCTGTGGAGGTGAGCTGAAACATTCTAGCCAAGGGGAGATGGGGGACACGAGGAAGGCCAGACACCTTCTGGTGTGATTACCCAATTGAAAACTACAATGATATATAATTGGAGACCATGTCTGTGCAAGATGTAGCACTGCTCACTTTGTAGAGTGCTTTGAACTCCTTGCAAAGTACTGTTAATGATTACTGTTTTATTCCTATTTTATTACCTATTAATTTGCTGCTGGAGTGAAAATGACACTGTAATAGCTAGAATACATAGAAAAGAATATTCAGTCACATAGCTGTGACAGTGCCCAAAAAGACTTGTAATTCATGGCTGTGATGTCTGCCAACCACTATAGGAAAAGTATCACAATAGCGAACTATGAAAAGTGCACGTTTGTTTGATGAGCCTTCAGCCATTTACAGATAGAAGCTGCTCCAGCTATGTTTAAAGAGCCTCTCAAGTGGCTCAAATAAGGTGTCTTCAGAAACAATTTGAAGAAGAGAGAGGGGTAAGTGAAAGAGAAAGGAAAGAAAGCATGGAAAGGAAAGAGAAGAGATTATATTAATCTACATTGCATAGTCTAGATAAGTCATTTATAGACAAGGCAATGATGCCACCTTGTGTTTTTGGTTGTCAACTCAGTCCATTCCTTCTTTGATCTACAGTATCTGCAGAAACCTCTTGATGGCAGCCACTTAGGTAACTGCACATCTTGCATGGTGGGTACTGAGGTACAAAGGCAAAGATCAAAGGTCAGTTCCTGATTGACCTTGCAGGTTCCTAAATAGGACTTGAACAAAATTTAGGCACCTAAGTCACAAAGGGCTCTTAGGAGAAGCAAAACACTGCCCACTCACTCCCAATACATGTGTCAAACCTTGAAATAAGGCAGTGAAGCTGCCCTGAGGACATCTCTCCAACACAAGTCTCAAGATCACTGGTCTCTGACTTGCTTAAGAGTGGTAATGGGGGTGTCCATAACTGACTTTACCTCGTTTTGGGTTTGGCACATACAGAGCAGAAATGGGTGATGCTTCTCACCAGTGCTCTCACAAATGGCATGGAAGCAATATGTGCATGCCCAAAGGGTAATCCCCCAGCAGCACCTGCAAAACTACTTGGGCTCCTAGAATCATTAAGCACTTGCACTTTGCCCTGAAAACCTATGTAGGTACCTAAACTTGGCCTATTGAATAAGCTCAGAAGTGATACAACTTGGATATTTACACATTTAACTCCTGCCTAAGGGCCTTGCTACACCTTACACTGTGAGCTGTACAAATGTTAATTGGTGTTACTGCTAGCTTGGAGTTTGGAGGAGTCACACCCTTCTCTGACTGTCCCCTATCTGCATAGCTGTGACTTGTCAATAACAGGCCTGGTGAGGGGCAGGACTAGGAGGTGGAGCTGTGAGTTGCCAGTAGACCGCCGATGAGCCAGGACAGGCTTCTATCCCTGTTCTACAGGCAGGGACTCCTGGGATACCAGAGGACTCCAATTTGGTAGGGCTGTGCGAAACAGTACCTATTCGATTCAGATTTGGATTCGGCCTGAATCAGGGACAATGATGTGATCCATTGAGTTGGATCACTGTCCCTGATTCAATTTGACCGAAACTGAATCTGATGATTTAATGCTGATTCAGCAAATCAGCAATTCAGACACAGGCACAGCTTTAAAAGTTTTTTCTACATACCTTGAGGTAGCTCGTGATCGTTGCGGTACTGGGGTGGATGGAGCATCCCACAGCAGCACGGGAGGCTCTCCAGCGTGCTCAGCAGTGAACCCAGAAGTGGACCAGAAGTACTTCCAGTCCACTTCTGGGTCTGCTGGGGAGCATGCTGGGGGCCCCTCCATGCCCAGCAATCATCTGTAGGGGGACCCCAGGTGCTCCCCCAGACCAGGAGGCACCAGTTGTCGAGCCAGGGGGTGCAAGGGGGCCCCCCTCAGCACGCTCCCTGGTGGACTCGGAAGTGCTTCTGGTCCACTTCTGGGTCTGCTGCCGAGCGTGCTGGGGAGCCCCCCGTGCTTCTGTGGGACACTGCATCTGCCCCAGCACCACAGCATGCAGAACCCCTGCTACCTAGAGGTATGTAGAAAAAACATTTAAAGCTGCGTCTACGTCTGAAACACTGAATCTGTCTGAATCTCTCCAAATTGATTCAGAGGGTTCCGAATTGATTCGGAGAGATTAAAGGGTCCTCTGATTTGATTCGGATTCAGAGATTCGGCCACCAAATCGGGCTGAATCTCCACCAAATCAAATTGGGGACCACAGCTTCACACAGCCCTACAATTTGGGCAGCACATCTGTAGGCAGTGGCCACACCTTAATGGAATAGGAGCTCGGTAGTGCGGATCAGAGATAATCCTGCCTTGCAGTGGCATAACTTTGAGCCATATAACAAGTGTTTAATGCCACATTAAGCTGTTAATGTGCAGACAATCCAGGGGTTAAGAGCTCCAGAAGCTAACCAAAATTACCATGTAACAAGGCCCGAAATTTCCTGCAGTCCAAATCAGTGTTGGGAAGTAACTGAACTCAGGCTCAGTCCCCAGTTCTTTAGGTGAAGAACAGGCCACACTGGTTGACTGCTGCTGAGAGTGCACACAAAGCAAAAAGGAGCACCTACTCACCTTTCGCCCAATAGTTTAGTGGCCTGGGAAGTGCAGGATTTGGGTTCTAGGCCTACGTCAGATAGGTTCAAACCTTCTCTGTCTCAGCTATTTTCAGGAAAGTGCCCTGACCATTGGGCCAATGACTATCCACTGGGGTGCCATGCAATCTTTTGTGGAGTGCCACAGCACCCAGTCCGTAAAGCACTCTCCTTTCCCCATCCAGCTCCCCACACCCGCTGCAGCATCTCAGCAGCATGGCAAGCTGCTTCTCTGGGGACCTGACACTGCTGCCCTTCCCCACCCTCTGGCATGCTTGTGCTGCCCACCCCCACAATCTTAGCACTGTGCTCTGCTGCAAGCAGGTTGATGCATGTTCTGAGCCATGCTTTTTAGCCCAGCTCATCCCTGTGGCTTCTCCCACACTTCCAGAGCCAGCAGGAGGAGCCATGGTGGCAGATGGCTCTGGTTGCCAACACAACCCCAGGGGAGAAGCTTTGGCCACAGGGACCACTCTTACCCCCTCAGGTATGGACCAGGGATGGGGAGGGGGGGCCAGGCAGTGAAAAGAGTGGAACACAGTAGAGTGAGGTCTGGCATCCACCGCCGCCCTCCCCTGGTACCATTTAGGTTAGTATTTCTCAGCCTTTTTAGCCTCAAGGCAGCCCTCCATCACTTTTCTGAATTTAGATTTTAGCTCAGTAAATCTCAGCCAGAAACTGAGGTGCTGCTAAATTCAGAAAAGTGATGGGGTGCCTTGAGGCTAATAAGGTTGAGAACAATTGCACTAGGCTACCAGCTGAGGGCATTCTCTACCCCTCCTATTTATGCCGCACTTACTTGGTCTCTTATGAACACTAGCCATTCCTTCTTGACCCCCAACATCTGTTTATATCAGATATTTCCAGAGTCAGAGCATTTGTTAGCTATTGTGGCTCCCCTTTCAAAATCCATAGTGTCCTTATAAAGCCTTGTATTCTCTGCTGCTGCAATTTATTTTTATAGCTGTCTGTCTTTGATTCTTGTTTCAATTTGGTTTCCTCTGTATTTTGTTCCTTTGCTCTACTGCCAGTAGGGGTTGCTAAAACAAAGAGATATTAATGAGGCTGAGCTCTTTTTCCTACCTCTTATATTTTCTTCACAAATATACACAGAGGAGGGACGGCTGTGTTCCTTCTGGCTGGAATTGATAAAGGCAGCTGTAGTATTTCAGGAACAGGAAAAACATCACTGAGTGTAAGCTGGCTGGTTTTGACAAAAGAGCTGAGGCTAATGTTTTTATTCAGCTTTAAGCCAATTTAATATAACACAAGCTCAAGGTAAAAGCAAAGCTTTACATTAAAATGGCTTTGACAGTTTGAGGATATAAATAACATGGATGATCCCATAGTTTTCAATTTTTATTCATTTTAATTAACCTTCACTATTGATTAAATTTAACATAAAATACTTCTTTCTCTTTTCATCCTTGTCAAACCAAGCTAACACAGATTGATGTAACAGTTTGCAGCCTCAGGAATGGCTGTTCCAAAATCAGATTGGTCTCTCTGGGAGCCAGTCAAACTGTTATACAGTGCAGTTGTTTGGTGTATTACTCTATCTCAATATCTTTTATATATATGCCGATAAATAATATCAAGTGTTAAGGAAAGTTCCTTATTGTATTTCAGTTTGTGCGTGAAAATATTGTTCAGATCCAAGAAGAAGTTTACAAAGGGTGGCTGCAGACTCAAGTCAAAATCCCTAAAAGAATGCAAAGTGCTCCACCTTTTTATTGAATGGGCAAAGACGATGGTTTCCTAGCTACAAGAAGACAGTCTTGTTGCTTCAAGCGGGGATCTGTTTGTAGTTGAAGTATGCATCAGTGAAATTTGGAAGAAAGGCAACTTTGAAAAACATGCTGATTGTGTATGCCACTTACACACTGAAATGTGATTTCACAGAGCTGATTTTTACTATCAGGCTAGATTTATGCAGTGACCGACACAGAACAGAAACTAAAAATAGCTGCTCCTTTTCGGATGACATCATGGATCACCAAAACCTCGGTCTCAAGGTTCTATTTAGAGTGAAGACAGAAACACTCATCAGATGGCAATGGAGAACTGAGTGGCAATAACACTTTTCCACCTTTTTCCCCTTGTCTATAATACCACCTCCTGTTTTTGGTTTTCTATCTGCTTATTTGTTATACTGCTCTGTCTTCCACAGTTTTGCTCCGTTACTTCTGCTTTCAATAATCCCCAGCAGGTCTGTTTGAAGCTTTAAACGGGATGCTTTTTGTATCAGATTTTGTGTCTTAATTGCTAAAATGTTTGATTTATACATTGTTTCTTCCAGACTTTTTTTTCCTGAATATGGCTAAAGTTTTGCCTTATTAAAACTGTTATTCAAATGTTCTGTATTCCTAGGTGCTTGTTTTTAATTGTTCATTTTCCAGTAGTGGCTCCACAGATTTATAAAAGTAGGTAGCTGTTCTCACCATTTTCCCCAGCACACATTTGCCATTGGTCTGCTGACTCAAAAGTGATAAGGACTTCTAACCAGTAGCAGGCATGAAATGGAAGCTGAGCATCTTTGAAAACTTTGAAAAAAGGCATTGGGCTTGGAATAAAATAATTAGTTTGCAAGCCTGTCGCAACACCCAGAGGAGCGTCTTATTGTGCAGAACCGTGGAGTTTGATTCATCTTTTAGCTACATGCTAAAGAAAAACAATGATGAAATGTAGATGCAGGTCAGTACAATGATCCCTGCAGGGTCCGTGATACTGCACTACAGTATATTAATGAAGTCTGATAATAGCTTTGTCATTTTACCTTCTTATTTCATGCTCTTTCAGTTTGGAACCAATGCTTTCTCTGAAAGGAGCCAAGAAAAAGATGTTTTTAGATTATGGTCCATTTCTTCCTGATCATGAGTATGAGCCTTTTAAGCTCTGCTATGTTCCCACTTTCTTATATCAACATGGTAATATTACTTAGCTCTTCTACAGGTGGGATAAATTCACCTTCATCTTCACCCTCACTTTCCC